ACCGAGTGAAACCGAGGAAAGCCAGAGCGGTTCAATCTCAACCGAGCAATAAAGTGAAACTTCCGCAAACACATTCCAGCTGCTGCTGTCTGCTACGGCAAGCCGAGAGGGGTGAAGCCAAACAAATACAACACAACGATGGCAAGGCGATTTGATTTGTTTTATACGGTGACCGAGAAGTGCAAAAATCCTTTGTGGATTCTGAAGCCTAAAACCAGCGCCAGAACTAAAAAGCTAAACTTAGCTAAACGAACTAGCATCGTTCCGACAACTTTTAAACTTATTTTTAGAAACATGTTCAGTGAAAGGATGAATTTTAATCCACGTTACATTAACCTTTTCAATATAAAAACTGGAATAAATACAAAACTAAAACTGAAATGAAATTAATAATAGTAAGTCGTGACTAAATGAAATATTTAAGCATATGAAAGCACGTAGTTACATTTCGAAATAAGGTGCATTAGAAGTCAATAAATCCTTGATTAATATGAATATTTTAATTAAAACCGTGTCTCCATGTAGTATTCAATAAAAGTCCTTTTAATCTATTAAATAACAGCAGAGTGAGCAAGTTTTTGGATCTTTCGGGGCAATTAAAGCAAAAAAAAACACCAACAACAACAACTGTCGAATAACAATACAAAACGCGGAAAACTATTAATTGGTTACAATTAATTGTACTACAAATTAGAAAATAGGCTACTACAATTGGAAAAAAAAAAGTAATAAAATAAAAAACCCAAAACAATAATGAAAACACTATAAACACTCCATGTTTCATTTTTAGCACACTTATTCATTATTTAGTTAATTTCTTTCATAATTTTAAGGAAATTTAAGCCAATTATAGGTAAAAGAGACTTTGAAATGAAGTAAAAACATTATTGGACAGACGTGTAGCTATTTTTAAAAAAATCGGCAAAATAAAACGGTTTATGAGTTATTGTCATATAGTCATTCAGAAAAAAAATTTGTAATATACGAAGAATGTGAAATTTAATCAAATTTGGAAACAAATATCAAGTAAAAGTTTGTGTCCACCTCATGAATGCTTTTTGACTGCGTGTATTTTTATAATTTAATATGTATCTGTTATTATTATTATGTTACCTCTCCTGGCACATGCAATTGGCAGACAGCAAACATACTGAATACATGAGACATATTTCTGGTTACTACGCTATATTTCAACATATTATGTTACCTCTCCTGGCACATGCAATTGGCAGACAGCAAACATATTGAATACATGAGACATATTTCTGGTTACTACGCTATATTTCAACAAATAAGTTGACATGATCTAGAGTGATAAAGTGGAGTTTTGCCTCAAGTTTTTACATTAGCGATTAAGTGCAAGCCAACACTACCAGACTTGTTTAACATTCAAATGTAATAAAAATGTATTTATGCAACTTTTTTTTTTTTTTTGACTTGTAAGTTAAGTAGGCCTAATGCTGCTGGAACAACTCAAACCCTACATCCAAATAAACTATGTTTAAACCGTGCACAGTCACTCAGTCTATCGGAATCTCTGCCTATGAGCGAAGAAACCGTACTAGGACAGGGTTCATTTATTCATATGTATTCACTCATTAGCTAAGCAGGGGCGTCGTAACAGGGTGAAGGTTAGGACATTTCTAAGGGCCCGACGAGGGAATGGGGGCCCAGAAGGCAATTTTTACTAGGGGGAACCCCCACCCCAGGGCCTGAGTCAATCAGTATTGCCCGATTGGGCAGGAACGTCAGACCGGAAAAAAATGGGTTGGGCAGGCTGATAAAATTTGGGCTTTTTGATACAACTGGCTGGTGTTTCAGCGTGCTTGTAACGTGGAAATTCCCGTAAATGTTTCATCGTGAAAGTCGCTGTAATGTATCATTTGCACGTGCTTTTGAGGCTTACCATTTTAAACTGTGAGACCACTTTCTGTGAGCTCACACCCAAAGTCCGTCAAAACGTCCGTCTTGATGAGTATTCACGTAAACAGTCGATTTATACTAAACACTGTTGGTTATGGCTATTAGGTGAATGTAAACAGTTGAGAAACAAAACTTATGTGCAAGTTAGATCCGTGTATGAGGTCTTAAAGAGACAGCAACCTAAATAAACCTGCTGCTGTCTGTCATTAATGTTTATTTATACATTGAAGACTAACCAGTGTTATTTTAAAGTTAACTAGATTATTCAGTTTCTGTGGTATTTCTGTACCTGAATATTACTGTTATACCTACCTGACTTAAAGCACAGTTAATTTTATTTGTTTGTGCCTTTGCTTGTCATTTATCCATTCTTACTTCATTACTGACTGTTTACTTGTCTTTTTTAGTTAAAATTAATTCAATTCAGAGTTTGAAATCCAAGTTCTTTTTAAGTATCTTCCTCGCAACATAAATATGAATCAACATTATAAATTGAAAAACAAATACACTGGGTGACAAAACATTTAGGTTGGATGATTGTAGTTTAAAAATGTAAAAAAAAAAATACGGTTTTACGCTGTAGTTGGGCTGAGATCTTCAATCCAATCTAGCAACACTGGAGTCAATATGCTGTTCAGGGGTCCCAGAAACCATAGCGGCGACCCAGAAGCCAAGTGACCTTAATTATGTAACACTGGAAGTAACAAAGCAGGCAAACGCTGTGGGAAATGCAATTTGCTTGCACTGTTAGATGTATTATATCTTATGTTCCTTGCTTTGAAGCGGATAATAAAGACATGATTAAACTCGTGCGGCTGTTCACTCTGGTCCAGTGACAAAATTATCCAGAGCAAGTGGTACAAATTTATAAAGATTAGACTAATGAATTATCTACTTATCTGATGGTCAAAACAAATACTGCTGTCTTTCTTGACTAATTAAAAATTACACCTACTAGCATCTTTTTTGAGCATAGTGCTTAAAATGTCTACACTGGTTGTCTGGATCAGTAACTTCTACAAAAACTACTGTGGTGGCCATTTGATGTTATTCTTCGCAGAATACCATGCTATTGCCATGTTACAAATGTTGACTAGTTATCTAGAGGATGCAAGAAATGTTGAAATGTGAATGATGTCATTTGCATTACAAGCACGTTGTGCAACGTGACCAATCTGTTCCACAGAGCAAAGTTAATATTTGAGTTTCATACCAGCTAAAGGTAACTAATTTCACTTCCAGGTTTCTGTAACCAGCTCCACCATTACAGCAAAAACAAAGAATTAACAAATGACAGGACAACAGAATCTGTCAAATCCCTTTAACAAAAAAATACATTGGAAAAATGGCAGTCTTCTGTCTTTTTTCACCAATTAAATAGTACAAGTAATAAAATAACTCTCCCTAAATCAGGTCCAATCTGGAAGTTGGTGCTTGAGATGTAAGGCTTCCACATCGATATACTTTCATGGTTTCTACAGATACAAAAAAATGCTATTGTGATTCTCAGATGGGCTCTTGATAGTGCAAACCTGCTCCCATGGCTTGGGCATTCAAATAAATAGTGTAACATCAGCGGCACAAGGAAAGCATTTCCATTCCACTCGGTTCCTCCCACCCAAAATAAGACGAGATCAAAGTCAAGCATGGTAAACTACATTTTTTTCCGCTTTGCTTTCATTGCTAGTTTTTTTTTCATCTCCTCCTCCTCCTCCATACGCATGTCCTCTTCATCCTCCTTGATCTGTCTGTCATTAATGTTTAATTATACATTGAAGACTAACCAGTTATTTTAAAGTTAACTAGATTATTCAGTTTCTGTGGTATTTCTGTACCTGAATATTACTGTTATACCTACCTGACTTAAAGCACAGTTAATTTTATTTGTTTGTGCCTTTGCTTGTCATTTATCCATTCTTACTTCATTACTGTTTACTTGTCTTTTTTAGTTAAAATTAATTCAATTCAGAGTTTGAAATCCAAGTTCTTTTTAAGTATCTTCCTCACAATATAAATATGATTCAACAACATTATAAATTGAAAAACACAAATGGGTGACAAAACATTTAGGTTGGATACTGTTATACCTACCTGATTTAAAGCACAGTTAATTTTATTTGTTTGTGCCTTTGCTTGTCATTTATCCATTCTTACTTCATTACTGACTGTTTACTTGTCTTTTTTAGTTAAAATTAATTCAATTCAGAGTTTGAAATCCAAGTTCTTTTTAAGTATCTTCCTCGCAACATAAATATGAATCAACATTATAAATTGAAAAACAAATACACTGGGTGACAAAACATTTAGGTTGGATGATTGTAGTTTAAAAATGTAAAAAAAAAAAAACGGTTTTACGCTGTAGTTGGGCTGAGATCTTCAATCCAATCTAGCAACACTGGAGTCAATATGCTGTTCAGGGGTCCCAGAAACCATAGCGGCGACCCAGAAGCCAAGTGACCTTAATTATGTAACACTGGAAGTAACAAAGCAGGCAAACGCTGTGGGAAATGCAATTTGCTTGCACTGTTATTTGTATTATATCTTATATCTTATGCTTTGAAGCGGATAATAAAGACATGATTAAACTTGTGCGGCTGTTCACTCTGGTCCAGGGTCCAGTGCAGACGCTTTCCAGATGAAGTGATCTTTAACAGACATCTTGCAGATGTGCGTGTGCTATCTGGGTAGGAAAGGTTAGCCTAATATCTTGTCTACCGCTTTGTCTTTCTTGACACTTACTAACATCTTTGAGCATAGTGCTTAACTCTACACTGGTTGTCTGGATCAGTAACTTCTACAAAAACTACTGTGGTGGCCATTTGATGTTATTCTTCGCAGAATACCATGAATACCATGCGTTACAAATGTTGACTAGTTATCTAGAGGATGCAAGAAATGTTGAAATGTGAATGATGTCAATGATGTCACAAGCACGTTGTGCAACGTGACCAATCTGTTCCACAGAGCAAAGTTAATATTTGAGTTTCATACCAGCTAAAGGTAACTAATTTCACTTCCAGGTTTCTGTAACCAGCTCCACCATTACAGCAAAAACAAAGAATTAACAAATGACAGGACAACAGAATCTGTCAAATCCCTTTAACAAAAAAATACATTGGAAAAATGGCAGTCTTCTGTCTTTTTTCACCAATTAAATAGTACAAGTAATAAAATAACTCTCCCTAAATCAGGTCCAATCTGGAAGTTGGTGCTTGAGATGTAAGGCTTCCACATCGATATACTTTCATGGTTTCTACAGATACAAAAAAATGCTATTGTGATTCTCAGATGGGCTCTTGATAGTGCAAACCTGCTCCCATGGCTTGGGCATTCAAATAAATAGTGTAACATCAGCGGCACAAGGAAAGCATTTCCATTCCACTCGGTTCCTCCCACCCAAAATAAGACGAGATCAAAGTCAAGCATGGTAAACTACATTTTTTTCCGCTTTGCTTTCATTGCTAGTTTTTTTTTCATCTCCTCCTCCTCCTCCATACGCATGTCCTCTTCATCCTCCTTGATGCCCAGGCGTAAACTGAGGCAGAAACAAAAAAAGATGTAATTAAGGAACGTAATTTCCGCCGGTCCTCTGCATAAAGGGAGAGAAGCGTTTTATTTCAGTCTGTCGGAAACACAATCATCACGATCATTTTCTCTTCTTGGCATTCTTCCGCCTCATCTCCTCAAGTTCTTGTTTTTCCTCCTCCTGGTCCTCATACACTGCCAATCGCAGGCTAATCAGACAATCAGGGGCAAGGCAAGGCAAAAAACCAAAAACAAAAAACACAGAAAAGAAGGCAATAGTGTGATGATTTGGTGAAAATGATGATGAACCAAAGCAGTTTGTCAGAACTAATATTTACCCACTTGTAGTTTGCAGCTGAATTCTTACCTCCTCGCTTCCTCTTTCTGCTGTTCCTTCCAGCTGCTCTCCATAAACTTCAATGCATAGTCACTTTCATCTTTATATCTGTTAAAACAAAAGACACAAATTTAGCAGAAAGTAGGCAAACTCCTTGTAATTTAAGGCAAAAAACATTCTATGCAAATACGCAAACATCTACATGTAAACACGTTGCCTATAACTGGCGTGATCAAATACCAGCATACAGTATTTTTCAAGCCCAAGGATATTTTATGTAACCTTAAGTTGGGTAAGAACTCACTTGGACTTGTCATAGCCAAAGATTTCCCTGATATGTTTTGAAATTTCATCTTGGTCTTCTCCTTCATCGTCGATGAAGTCGTCCATCTCAGAGTCTAAATCTTCCTCATCCTCATACTTCCGTTTATAATTGGATGTTATGGGGGGCAACGCTGGTCCTTTAAAAATAGCAGGAGTAGAGGGGATACAACTTCAAAAACTTGTAAGAATACACACAAGGCATTAATGTTGCTACTGATTACAAATT